ATCTTAAGAAGCAAAAGCGGGCAGCCCGCTTCCAGCACGGACACTCCCGCCGCCTGCGCCTCGAGCCCCTGGTGCTGCAGATGGGAAGCCTGGAGAGCAGCGGGGCCGACCCCGACTGGCAGGAGCTGCAGATTGTGGGCACCTGCCCTGACATCACCAAGCACTACCTGCGTCTCACCTGTGCCCCTGACCCATCCACCGTGCGCCCTGTGGCAGTAAGTGCCCAGGCGGGGCGGGTCTGCTCAGGCGGTGCTGGCATGAGGCCTGTGCAGCTAACCCGGGGAGGGTGGCAGAGGCCATGGAGGGAGTACAGTGTGGCAGGGGCCTGACTCCGGGAAGACCCCACCCTGACCTTCACATGTCTGGCCAGAGACGTCTAGGCTGCTGGGCGTTCTGAGAGGTGAATGAGGTGGACCGGTGTGTGCCTGCAGCCCTGCAGTCAGGGGCGTGCAGCCTGTCAGAATCGCTTGGCCTCTGAACCCCGTTCCCTGCTCGGGAGATAGGATAAAGCTGCCCTCTCAGCCCGGGGTCTGTGGAGCAGGAGGATGGTCGTGCTCGGCATCCCGGCTGAGTTCCAAAGTAGCAGTGTGGTCACTGTTGCACTCTAGGACGCACGCACAGCCGTGTGCTTACACAGGGGACAGGTGGCGGGTATTTACTCTCAACTTGTGTTTTAGGTATTTTTTTTAGCTGGTAGTGAGTCACTAACATGAGTTTGTTGAAACTCATTTTAAAAATACCAAATTAGTGGAAATGTGGGTTTTAGCATATTCTTGCTTTCCCCCTGCCTGAGTTGTACCCTGAGCCTTACTTCGATTCCTTTCCCAGGTTTTAAAGAAGTCACTGTGCATGGTCAAGACCCACTGGAAAGAGAAACAAGACTACGCCTTCGCATGTGAGCAGATGAAGTCCATCCGGCAGGATCTGACGGTGAGGCGCACACCGGGAGGGCCTTGGTCTGGGCCAGTCCCGCCCTGGCTCCCTGTGACTCCGGTTCTCTCCCCACGGCCCCAGGTGCAAGGTGTCCGCACTGAGTTCACAGTGGAGGTGTACGAGACCCACGCCCGCATCGCCTTGGAGAAAGTGAGTGGGCCACTGTGGGCCTCCCCATCTTCCTCCCTGTGGCTGCTTTTCCCTCTGTGGCCTTACTCTGCCCTCCCCTCTCTGTGCCTCGCCTTCCAGGGAGACCATGAAGAGTTTAACCAGTGCCAGACACAGCTTAAGTCACTATATGCTGAGAATTTGCCCGGCAATGTGGGCGAGTTTACTGCCTACCGGATTCTCTATTTCATCTTCACTAAGAACTCAGGAGGTGAGCCACAGTCCCTGGGCTGGGGCTGCAGTGCCCAGGACTGAGCCTTGCTGACCTGACCCCCTTTGTCTTGGGCCCTAGACATCACCACAGAGCTGGCTTACCTCACTCGGGAACTGAAGGCAGACCCTTGCGTGGCCCATGCCTTGGCGCTGCGGGCGGCCTGGGCTCTGGGCAACTACCACCGCTTCTTCCGGCTCTATTGTCACGCACCCTGCATGTCTGGCTACCTCGTGGACAAGTTTGCAGACCGGGAGCGCAAGGCTGCCCTCAAGGCAATGATCAAAACGTATGTGGTGCTGAGCTCCCCCTCTGCCCTCTACTCTTCTGGCCCTTCTGCCTCGCATCACCCCCGAACGCACTCCTGGCCGCGGGCCTCCTCCCAGCTCCCCCGTGTCCTGGCCTTCTCTCCCACCTCTTCTTTCTCCACTCAGCTCTCCTCTCCGCAGCTCCTCTCGCTTTCCTTCCCACAGCCACTCTCTGTGTTCCAGGTCCCTCCTCTGTGTCCTCCTCCTCCTCTTCCTCCTCCCACCATGCTTACCTCACTGCTCCTGGGTTCCCATCTCCACCCCCTCCTGTGCTTCTCTTTCTCCTGTTCACACCTACCTGGACCCTAGTTCATCTCCTGGCTCTGAGCTCTGGGCTTCCACCTTCCAAGGACTCTGCCCACCTTTTACAGCTTCTCACTGTGCTCCCACTCTGTAGACACAAACTAGACAGCTTTTGGTCTAACTGGACAGGGCCTGTGTTCCCACTCAGCTCCTTTGAGAGTGCCGGAAACATTCAGGGAGACATAGTGGTGGGGCAGCCATGCTGCAGGTGGTGTGGACAGGCTGTTGGACAGCCGGGCCCTGGTTTACTGAGCGTGTCCTTTGTTCACCAGACGTTGTGTGTGGCTCACTGTGCGTACTGGGAGAGATGCTTGACTCGTGCCTAGACCCCCATGGTTCTCAGTCCAGGGATTGAGGGGACCCCAGGGGACATGGGACAACGTCAGGAGATGTTTTTGGTTGTCACAGCAAGGGGCTGCTACTGGAATATGGTGGGTAGAGGCCAGAGATGTTGCTAAGCATACTGCAGCACCCAGAGTAGCCCCCACAGGGTCATCTGGCCCCAAATGTCAGTTGTGCTGAGGTTGCAAAACCCCAGTCGAAGAGGTTGGTGGTCCGAGGGGCCTTGAATGCCAGGCCACCTGGCCTTCTCGTGACAGTAGTAGTCACAGGATGGTTTGGAGCTGGGGATAGGCCATCAGCCTGAAGGTTAGGAAACTCCTTGTGGGATCTAGTTTGGCTAAAGCCAACTTTAGGGGGAGGCTGAGCTGGGGTGGACCCCACGGGAACAGAAGAGGACGTGGGGCAGGGCGCGTTCAGGAGGCGCAGTGCACAGCACGCGATTGCTGGCTCAGGCAGTGATGGGGAAGGAGGAGGCAGTGAGGCCACCAGCCCTCTGTGGCTTGATAGGCCCCGTAGCGGGCAGCTGTCAAGCTTCAGTGCTATACGCGGTGTTCGGTTGATGAACCAGCCTTGGCTGGTGACACGGCCCTGAGTGTCCCTTATGGGTGAGCCCTGGTTTGTCACTGGCCTCAGTCTCAGTGCCTTCCCGCCTAGGAGGCTGGAGCCACCACTCGGCAAGCATCCTTCCTCAGGCCCCAGAGCCGTGTCCTTGCAGAGGGCCGCACGCCAGCTCAGGCTGGGAGACGGAGCAGGGTCTCCGATCCCAGGGCCGCGCTGGCCTCGGAGCAGAACCAGCTTCTAGTACTTAGTGCCACTCGCTCAGTGCCTCTTTTGAGCGTGTGTAAAGGGCCTGGCAACACAGCCTCTGTAAAAGGGTCCCGTGAGTCGTGGGAGGCTCTGCGGACGGCTGATTGCCGGCACACGTCAAGTGCTCAACCAATAGTATCTCTTAATGGCAACCAAAAATTCCTTCTTTGAGTATATGGTGACGAGTGCTGGCTGCTACACCTGTGCTCAGGTTCCCAAAAGCACTCTGACCCAGGGCCGGGGAAGCAGTGAGGGCTGGGGTCCCCAGGGTGGCACTGGCAGCCCCGCTGTCCTGTCCCGTCCCATGCGCTGCTCCCTCCGTCTGGTCCCTGCCCTCAGCCAGCGGAGGAGCCCGCTGGGCCCTTCCCCTCCCGGCCCCTGCCCTTCCTGACCCCTTGCACAGGTAAGTGAGGGTGAGGGGGGGCATAGCTGGGGACTGGGGCCACCAACCCCACCCCGGGCCCCCCCAAGCCCCTGAGGTGGGGAGGTTGGGAGGGGGTGGGGGAGCCAGCAGGTACCGTGCTGAGGAAACCCCGTGGGTACCCGAATGGGGGGCCTCGCTCCCTGCTCGTGGGGCCCTCCCCTGCCCGCCTGCCCGCCTCATCGCTTTCTCCTCTTGTCTCCGTAGCTTCCGCCCTGCGCTGCCAGTCTCCTACCTGCAGGCCGAGCTGGCCTTCGAGGGCGAGGCCGCCTGCCGGGCCTTCCTAGAGCCCCTAGGCCTGGCCTACACGGGCCCGGACAACTCCAGCATCGACTGCCGCCTCAGCCTGGCGCAGCTATCAGCCTTCTGAGCACCCAGCGAGGATGGGGGCGGGGGGCAGGGGCTGCAGCCCCCCAGCGCCGCCTTTGCGGATTTTGTTTTTGAGCCATGGACTTGGGTTGTAAATTAATTTGTGGGGATCAGGCTCCAGGAAGAGCCACTGTCCCTGCCCCCGTTTTCCCACCGGGGAGTCTGTACAGAGATTTTTTCTACATTTTTATTTTTTGCTTCAGAGGGATGGGATTGGGGGAGGAGGGACTGGGACAGCGGAGGGTTGGGGGCATGGTCTGTAGGCTTGTCTGTCCACCTGTCACCTCCACTAATGCTGTCTCAGTGTTTTTTCTCTCTCTCTTTCGAGCTTGTACTCCGGTACCCGACCCGGCGCCCTGGCCCATCCCATGCCAGGGGGGCCAGTGGAAAGAAGACAGGCCGTCCAGCCCGGGCCCGCCTGCGGCGGGGGCAACCAGCCACCCAGCCCACCGCCTGCTGTCTCGTCTGCCTCATCATAGACTCTTGTTGCCCAGCCCTCTGGGGCCTCAGTGTGTCGGGTGAGGGGAGCTGCTTAGAGACTATGCCCCGCCCTCGGCCCCCCACCCCGGAAATGCCAATGCCAGCAGCACCACCACCAGATCCACCACCACGTCGCACTGAGGACTCCGGAGGCCATCGCGGGACCTCGCCGGCCGGGCCGCCTCGTCTCAAGTTGTATTAAGTTGTCTCCGTGTCCCCTCCTCCCTCTACCCCCAATGTTTCTTCTGGTTTTTTTTTCCCCTTCCCCTCCCTCCTCTTCCTGCTCCCATCCCCCCTTGGTTCAGCACAGGTAAAATGGTTTCCCTCCCTCCCCGCCTTCATGGATCACCAGCTCACGTCATGTTTCCTTCTCTTTTCTTTTTGTGTGTGTTTATTTAAGTTATTTTTCTTCTTCCTCCCCCTTTTCTTTTTGGTCCTCCCTCCCTCTTCTGCCATGTAACTGGAGGATGTGCTGTGAGTTTGCAAACAGCTGGACTGTCGGGCTGCTTTTTTTCCAGATGTTCCTCCTCTGCCTCCCCTTCCCCTCCTCTCCTCTCCCCTTTCCTTCCTTCATTCTTTCCTTGGAGCACTGAGCACCATTTGGAAGCTTGAGAGAAACCAAAATTAAAGAGAGAGAGAGAGAGAAAGCACTTGCTCCTCACTTGTCCTTCCTGCTTGGACTGTCTCTCCTCCTTGGGGTGTTTGGATCCAGTTTGGCCCCTCCAGGTCTGGGAGTGTCACTCCAGGGGAATCTCAGCGGCCGGTAGGTGCCCCCTGTCCTCCCCATAGGGCACAGCCAGGCTTTCCCCAGGGGCAGGCTCCCCACTTCCTGAATCAGGCTTAACCCAGGCTTGGGGAGGTAGACTTGGGAACCATGGGGCACCTTGGCCAGTGGGAGGTGGGGGTGCACCCCCTGCGGACTGTAGCACACACAGCCCCCCTCCGCCCCTGGGTCAGCACTTGGCCATGCTTTCCAGTGGGGGGGAGGGTGGGGCATAAAGCACATGACAGCCCCGGAGTACCAGGTCCCTGAACCTCAGCTGGGGGCTGCTTGAAGCTCTGGGACCAAGAGGGCCTGTCTCAGAGCCGCAAAGGCGGCTGCCGCCTCCCCAGGGCCCGAGAGCTGCAGCAGGGCCAGCGTCGGGTGCAGGGCCTGTGTGGGCACCAGCAACAGCACAGGATGGAGCGACTTGGACCAGGTGTTGCTGGGCCTTGGCAACTGCCTGTAGCCCAGGCTAGGTCACCATGAGGGCCACAAAATGGGTGGGGTTTGCGAGAGTACGCAGCCTTAGCCAGAATGGCTGTTTCTTCATCCTTGGGTCAGGCCCCAGGACCCCACTCTGCTGCTGTCTGCCCAGCACAGGGCCTTTGCTTCCCTGGCCAGCAGCTCGGTGGTCCTGGCGGCCACTGCTGACTTCAGCGCCTTCTCACTCTGTCCTGTGAGGTGCCCTCTTGGGTCTAGTGTTCCCAAATCAGCGCCCTCTCCTCCCCAAATCAGCGCCCTCTCCTGGGCTGCCTTGCTCTCCAGGGTTCCAGACCGGCTTTCTGCTCCCTCCTGGACAGGCAGCTGGCCGGCCGCCTCTTCGGCCCTGCCCAGGTCCTCTCTACGCCCCCATTCCATGCTGCTGCTCACCACTGTGTGTGTCCGCTGCCCACTGCATCCAGGATGGCAGGCACCAGCCCGGCTGCCAAGCCTGAGCCGAAGACGGGGTCGGTGGGCGCGGCGCGGTCCCGGGCCAGGCGGCCGCGGAAGCAGCGCACGCCCTGCTGTGGTTGGGCCGGCATCGGCGCTCGGGCCGCCAGCGGCTCGTCCCACCAGGAGCGCTGACGGGCTCCTCGCGCATGCCCAGGCAGCGGTGGGCTTAGCCCGCCGGGAAGTCGGCGGGTCGCCGTGTATTCGCTGGATGACGACCACGGCCTCGGCCTGCGCCCCACGCGCCGCCGCTCCGGGTGGGTTGGCGGCAGGCGGGCGGGGACGCGGGCTCCGCAGCTGGGGACTCAGCGGCAGCTCTGGCTCTCTGGCCGCCGCCAAGGCTGCGGGGGGCAACTGGCGCGCTCGCCACGCAGACCGGGCCGCCCGCGCCGGGGGCAGCCCTGCGTGGACAGCGTCTTAACCCGACTGGTGTCAGCGACCCGCGCTCCCGCCCCCGATCCCCGCCCCCGAGGTCCACTCCCGGGACGCTCGCTCGGGAGGACTCTGGCCCTCCCTTCTCCCGTGGATAGGCTGACGCCTCCGCCCGGGACCTCCCGGCAGCTCCCTCTTCCCGCGCCGGGAAACTACGCTCAGTCCCTGGCGAGGCCGTCTTGGTCTTGGTCTTGGTCTGTGCGAGCTCTAGAGAGCTCGACCCCGCCCCCGACCCACGTGATCTGCACGATCCCCGCCCCAGCTCATTTGCATATGCCCCGCCCCTTGGGGGGCCTTTAAAAACCTAGCCCCACCCCCTAGCCCAAGTGATTTACTGGCGCGGCCCCGCCCCTCCGGGACAAGAACCTCCTCTCTGGGACCGAGAGCTGCGGTCGCTCAGCCGGCCGGGAGCAGTACCAGTCGCTGTCAGGCACGGGGCCGCACAGCAAGAGGTGAGCAGCCGGCAAGTGCGCGGAGCTTCATCTGCATTTACAACCGTTCTCCATCGCTCGCATCACCCCCCACCCCCCGTCCGTAGAAAAATTGTCTTCCGGGAAACCGGTCCCTGGTGCCAAAACGGTTGGGGACCGCTGCAAAGAACTTGGCTTTGTCCCCGGTCCAAATGATTTGCATGTGCGGCCTCGCCCCTCTGGGATCTTAGAGAACCAGGACATTCATGGGCTCAGATCGAACTTTGTAGCCCAGACTTGGGACGATGCCACCGCCCTGCGGCGGACGCACCTTTGGGGAACAGAGGCCCTCCCCCATGGGGATCTCGCCCCTGCAGGCTTTGAAAGGGTTCCCAGCCACTGCCCTCTGTCGTCCTCCCCGAGTAAAAGGCGATGTCCTCCTAAGACGTGCAGGGCCAAGAGGCGGAGGCTCCCCGACCACAGCACTCAGCTGGCTCCGCGGAGCCCCTCTGGGCCCAGCACGCAGCCCAGCCCCGGGGACCACCTCGGGCAGGCGCTGGCGCTCAGTCAGTATTTGGTGAACGAAACTTAGCCCCGCCTTCTGGCAGGGACACCGGCTGGCCATGTCCCCTGACTCTCGTAAAGGAGACGCATCCCACTGCAGGTCAATCATTCAACCTGGATCGGAAACTCCAGGTGCCACATCTGGGTCTCCAAGGCGCCACATCTGGGTCTCCAAGGCGCCAGGGCTCTCTCCTCTCCTCCCCATCACCCCTTCCTCGGGGCAAAGTGAACACTCAGAGCCCAGGGTACAAGCCTTGGCCGTTTATGTATACAGCGCTGGGGTGCCAGGCGGGAAGGGTGCAAGGACCGGGGGCGCCTAAAGGCCGATGATGTCGTCCAGCTCGAGGTCCGCGTTGGGGCAGTAGCGGGCCCTGGGGTGCTGCGTCCCGGGGCGGGGGTCCGCGTCAGGCTTGGCGGCTGCAGCCGCTGGACCCGCTGCGTCCATGACGCCCAGTACCGCATCCAGCATGGAGGGGCCCAAATCCAGGTGGAAGGACAGCAGTGGGTCCGCGGGCGCGGGCGCGCGGAGAGCCGGTGCCGGGGGCTGCGGGACAGCGGGCGGCGGTGCTGTGCGCGGGGCCCCCGCGGGTGGCGCCCGGGGCTCTGGGGGCGGCCCGCCGCCGTGGCGGCTCAGGAACGAGGTATCCCCGAAGGCGTCGCCACCGCGCCCCACGTGCAACGTGTGCCGAAAGTCGCCCAGTGGCGCCGAGATGGACAGGGCGCCTCGATCGGTCCGCTTCTTGGGCTGCGTGGGGCCCAGCTGCTTCAGCACTGGCATCTGTGAGGGGCACAGGCAGGTCAGCGCTGCCTTCACCCCGAGAGCCCCCGATTCCGTGTCCCCAGCCCAGGGCCTAGCCAGCCATGCGGTTCTCCCAAAGGATGCTCTCGATGAGAAAAGGACGATGGTGGGATTATCTCCATTTTACAGGTGGGGAAACTGAGGCTCTGAGAGGTCCAATGCGCACAGCTGCTGGACTAAAATCTCAGATTCAGATCTAGGTTTGCCTGGTTCCAAAATACACATGACCACCACGCTATGCCGCTCCTCCTAAAAACTAGTATTAGAGTCTTCCTGTAGGTCAGACAACAAAAAACTATTTCACAAACTCTTCCAAGAGGGAAATTCCCAGGCCCACTTCCTGAAGACAAGGCTGACTCTGTCCTTTAGGCAAAGCAGGCACAGTGTCTAGAGCCCACGACACACACGAGGAAGAAGTCTAAAAAGGATTTGTCTCCGGTGCACAAAAGTCACAGTGCAAGCTTGCCTGAAGCTCCTAACTCAGGAGGCTGGGGTGGGCCTGGGGATCTGTTATGGGCACAGCATTTTATAATCCGAATTACAGTCCTCACTGGGTATCCACGGTTCCAAATAAGCAGATTCAACTAACTACCATCAACAATATTTTGGAAAGAAATTTAAAAATACAAATTAAAAAAGAATGCAACTATTTGTATAGCATTTACATTGTATTAGGTATTATAAGGAATCTAGAGATGATTTAAAGCACACAGGAGGATGTGCATAGGTTATATGCAAATACTAGTCCATTTTATATACAGAACTTCAGTATACTCGGATCTTGGCATCCACAGGATTCCTGAAACCAATCCCCCCGCCACCTCCCGGGGCTGCTCAGGGGCCACTGTATCTGATTTTGAAAGACCATGACCTAAAAATATGATGTCTCATATTTTGTAACATAATAATCATACAAATTCCCCTGTGTTAAAAAAAGGAAATGGCAGGACTGGCATAAACTTCAAGCTGGCAGCTTGTAAATTGCAAACTAGGTGCTCTGTTGCGCATGGCCAGGCCAGATTCAATGGTAAACAGAAATGCAACCAACCTCTGCCCATATCCTGGAACTTGGCTGTTTTCTGTGGAACTTCTGGGAGGGACTCTGATGACCTTGTACTTTTGTTTTAACAGTCACTGTTATTATAACAAAAAAAAAATCCTTTTTTCTATTTCAATCAAAGCCCCACCCTTTGCCAGCTGTATGAATTGGAATAAATGACTTTGTCTCCCTGTCTGTTTTCCTCTCTGTAAAATAGACAAAATAACACTGCCTTCCTTGCAGGGCACATAGAAAAATTCAAGCCAAGAAAACTATATTTTAATAGTGTCAACCAGTTAGTAGTGCTCATGTCGGGGCGAGGGGGGGGAGAATATATCCCCAAAAAATAACTGTGGAACAAAAATTAGATTTGATGATAAAACACTATGAGGAAGAAAAAGCACCTAGTATTGTTTCTGGGGTAACAGGCACCCTGGGAAGTATTGATGATGATGTGTAGAAAAATTAAAGCCAAAAGGATTTAAAACGATTGTTGATGGCTGTATTCTGAAGCCTGTTTTCCACCTGGCGCGCGCGCGCACACGCACACACGCACACACACACACACACACACACACACACGCACACACATACACACTTTACACTTATTTCTCCGGGGAAACCAGTCTTGATTTACCACGTCCGCAGTGTGTATCAAGTATCTCTGACCTCAACCCAGCACACAATCGCCACTCCCTCTTCTCCCACAATGCAAACAAAAATTTTATGAAACAAGACTTACCTGACAACAAGGTAGGCACTCTGATACTTTCTATTCTAATCTAATTTATTTTTAAATGTTGAACTCAGCTCATTAATGAATCTGACTCCACAGTTTAAAATAAAAACCTTCTCTAGGTGACAGCAGAGCCCATTATCTCAGCACGTGCTCTGCGGTGAGTCAGAGGCGAAAAGAGTAGAATTCAGAAAGCCAACTGCCCAGGTTCGGGTCTGGTGGTGGATTGCTGTGTGGCTTTGGGCAAGTTACTCAACCTTTATGATCTCCTATCCTCATCTCCAAAATGGAATGGTGATAATATAATACTTCATAGTCCTTCTGCAAGAATTGGTGAAGTCACACCCATGAAAGTCTTAGCGCAGTACCCAACACACGGTTAATGTTCAATAAATAAATAAATGCTCAGTGGAGTCCCACCTGGACATTCTTGCAGCGGCCCAGAGAAGGAAACATGCTCAGGGAGAGTATGTGACTTGTGCAAGATCCCAAAGCCAGCTTTGTGGGACTCTAGAGCCGACAGTTGGCTCCTTCCACTGTCTGCTACCTCTTGAACTCACCCCTCCCTGACAGCTCTCAGCTACTACTTCTTCTCACAGCCCAGCCCCCAGCTTGGGTCCTCTTTCCATCCTTCCAGTGTCCTACAACTCACTGCCATTTTCCAGCAGCTGGCAACACATTAAGGTCTTGGTTCCTGATGTCAACCACACCTGGGCACCAACTTTGCCATTTCCTTTTTGTGGGACCCCAACCTAGCTTTCTCAACCTAAATCTCACTTTACTCCTCTGAAAAACAGAAGTCAGAATTCCTGTTTGTTACAACGCATCAAAAAGTATAATACTCAAGGTGCTGATGTTTTATTTCTCAAGCACTTATTCTGGGCCAGCCAATTCACAAGGATGAACTAATTCATTTAATCTTCAGAACAACCCAGTGAGGGGGGAGATTGTGATTATAATGTCTGTTTTACAGGTGTGTGATGGCTGAGACACAGAGAGGGCAAGTAACTTGCTCTGGGTCACACAGCAGCAAATGCTGGGGGCTGAATTTGGAATCCAGATGAACTCTAGAGTCTAAGAATTATATTATATTGCTCATAGTCCCCCGCCTCCAATAGAAGAGGGTGGGTGTGCAGCCCCATGGAGAAAAAATAATGTTTGATTTGATATAAAGGCCAAGGGTTTCCTTGCACCATTGACTCCCCCCGCAACCCGCCCCCTTCTTTCTTTTCCATTCCAGACAAGAACAATGAGTTAGAACTCATTTTCATATGCCACCTCTCCTGGCTAGTGACTTCGGGTAAGTCACTTCACTTCTGGGCCTGGGTGTCCTCTCGAATAGAAGGCTGCGATCTCCCCCTACTAGGGTTGCCGTGCTTGACGCAGTGAGGTCATGCTCGGAAAGAGTTCCTCACGCGGCCAAGGCTTGCGGCACAGAGGGGCTGTTGTTCGTGACCAACGTGCGGCAGCCAGAAAGCCAGGCGCAAAGGCTGGACCCCGGGACGCCCTCTCCCGCCTCCACCCGGCCTCGCTTTCCTGCCCCCGCAGGGCCAGGCTCCAGCTGCAGGGGGTTGGGGGGCACAGCCGGTTCACCTCTGTCCTCTCTCAGCTCCAGCCCGGCCAGCACGGAAAAAACAACCCGCTCCGGATCCGGCCCGACTGGTTCTCAAACCCCTGTGCGAGGCAGGGAAGCGGGTGGGGCCGGGGCGGGGCCCGGGGACCCCGGACTGGGAGACCCCCGCCCCGCCCTGCCCCGCTGGGGCCACTGCGCGCTTCCTGAGGCCACGTGGCCGCTGCCGGGAATTCAGCGGCCGCCGCTATCCTTGGCCTTCAGTTCCTCCTTCCCGCGACAGGCCTGGGGACTCTTCCCACCACTGCCCCTTACCTCGTGGTCCTCCCCGAGCCGGCCCCGCGCACTCCCTCGACTCGGGCTCCAACTGGGACCCTCTGTCCCCGGCTCAGACTCCGCCTCCGCCTCCTAGTGCCCTGCCCGCGCCTTCTTCCTTCTTCCTCCGGGCGGGATCTCACCTGGCAAAGAAAGCGCCGTGCGAAACCCGGAGGGGATTTAGGGCCCAGGCATCTGGGCCTGCAATGCCGCCTCCTCCGGCCGCCTCCTGTCCTGTCGGGGCCGGGAGGCCTGGCTCCTGGCTCTCCCAGGCCCAGAAGCCGGCCCCCAGCCCCTCCTCCTTCAGTTCCACCGGTGGGGTCCCCAGCCCCCTCCTCCAGACTCAGAAGTCCAAGTCCCCAGGCTCCTCCCCCGGACCTAAGAGTCTGAGCCCTGCCCCGTCAGGCCTTGGCATCGGGTCCCTTCCTTACCTGCACCCAACTGAAGTGTCAGCCCCTCTCGGGGGCCATGGTAGGAGCCCAAGCAGACGCGGAGTCACCGCTCAGTCCAGCTCGGTTCGTCGTCCCCAAGCAGACAGGGCTGAGGCACAGGCCCCTCCCGGGCCTCCAAAATTTTGCCTGTGGGTTTTAAGGGACTAGAAAGCAGTGGTGGAAACGCGGAGGCCCCTGTGTGCGGAGTGTGGGGCGGGAAGAGGCCTGGACTAGAACTCGCAGAGGGGGTGGGGGATGGACAGGGCGCACCCCCGGCCTGGCCCCTCCCTCTGCCCAGCTTGGAATTTCCTGAAACTGGGGAAGTCTGGCTGTTCGGAAGAGTAATTTCTTCCAGATTGCGGCTGTTGGGGGAGTGGGAGAGGGACAGGGAGAGAGACACAGACACACACACACACACACACACACACACACACACACACACACACACGCGCGCGCACACGCGGCAGGCAGTGAGACCAGCCAGAGGATGCGGGTCTGAAAGAGGCGGCTGTGGCCCTGCTTTGGGGAGTCCCCTGGATGGATGTCCCTGTCTGAAGCCACCCACCGTAGAACTCCATAGAAAGGTCATCTATCACTATGAGGACCTGAGTCTATTGCAGTTGGAGACGAGAGTTAGATTTGGGTAATAGGAAGATTCCTCCAGCGCCAGTGTGAGACAGGGCCTGGCAGGGGGAGAACAGAGTCCCCAGGTCTGAAGCAGGCTCAGTGGGAGGGAGGTGGAGGCCCAGGTGGGAGGCTGGGTCAGGGGGAGGGAGGTGAAGGCCCAAGTGGGAGGGAGGTATAGGCCCAGGTGGGAGGCTGGGTCAGGGAGAATAAGGAGAAGGCCCAAGTGGCAGGCTGGGTCAGGGGGAGGGAGGTGTAGGCCCAGGTGGGAGGCTGGGTCAGGGAGAATAAGGAGAAGGCCCAAGTGGCAGGCTGGGTCAGGGGGAGGGAGGTGTAGGCCCAGGTGGGAGTCTGGGTCTTTGGGAGGGAGGTGGAGGCCCAGGTGGGAGGCTGAGTCAGGGGAAGGGAGAAGGAGACCCAGGTGGGAGGGAGGTGAAGGCCCAGGTGGGAGGCTGGGTCAGGGGGAGGGAGGTGTAGGCTCAAGTGGGAGGCTGGGTCAGAGGGAGGGAGGTGGAGGCACAGGTGGGAAGCTGGCTCAGTGGTTCTACCCCTAACTGGGGCTGGGTTGTGGGGCTTGAGAGGAGAGAGTCAATTTAAGTGATAATAAGAAAGTGCCTTTGTACTGAGTCTTAAGGGAAGAACGAGAGTTTGTTGAGCCCAGGCGAGGAGGAAGGAAGGTGGGGAAGGCAGGTGGAGCAGAGGGCACTCCAACACTGGGTGGGGCTGGGTTTACCTGGCTTGAAAGCCCCTGGGAGCTTGGACTTTGTTCTGGAGGCATGGGAGACCTGCAGAGGAATCCCAGGGTCAGATCCAGGTGTGAGAAAGTTCCCTGGGGTCCCTGCGGGGCATAGACTGGAACAGGCTTGGACTCAGCCTCCAGAGCAAAATTTAAAGGGGTGGGAAATGGTTACCAAAACCTCAGTAATCAAGAAAAATAATATACCTAAATTACAACTTTTTATTAAGTACTTTTTGTTGATGTAAAATTCACATCACATAAAATCAGCTATCGTAAAATGTACAGTTCAGTGGCATCTGGTAGATTCATATTGTTGTGCAGCCGTCACCTCTATCTGGCTCCAAAACATTTTCATCACCCCAAGAGAAAACCTTATTATGAAGTCCCTCCATTGCCCCCACTCCCCAGCCCTGGAAACCACCCATCTGTTTTTCGATTCTATGGCTTTACCTATTTTGGGCATTTCATGCAAATGGACTCATACGTTGTATAGCCTTGGATATCTGGCCTCTTTCAACTTAGCGTGTTTTCAAGGTTTATCCGTATTATAGCACGAGTCGGTGTTTTATACACAAGTATATTATTAATATATGTTAAAATATAAAGAGATTTATTTTAAGGAATTGAGAACATGCCTAACAGGGGCTGGCAAGCCTGGAATCCGTAGGGACAGCTGGAAACTGAGGCAGGAGCCAATGCTGCAATCTGGAGGCAGAATTTCTTCTTCCTCAGGGAAACCTCCATTTTTCTCTTAAGGGCTTTCAGTGGGTTGGAAGAAGACCACCCACATTATAAGGATCATCTCCCTCACTTAGGATCAACAGATCGTAGAGGTCAACCACATCTGCAAAAATGCCTCTACAGCAACCCCCAGACTGGTGTTTGCTGGAATAACTGGGGACTAGAGCCTAGTCACGTGGAGACAGAAAACTGACCATCACACCAGATAATCCCCATAGCATAAATCCATAACCTTAACTGCATCTGCAAAGACGCTTTGCCCTGTGGCGTCAGGTCCTGGGGGGATGTTGAGAGCCAAAGCAGGACTAGCTTTATGGGTTGCTCAGGGTCGCACGTTCGGAAGAGTCCCACATTCTTTTTCATGCTCAGTTGGCACCAACTTGAAATTCTTCATCATTTTGAACACGAGGCCCCACATTGTCATTTGCACTGGACCCCACCAATTGTGTGGCCAGTTCTGGATTGAAGTGCGGGAAGGGCAGCAACAGAGAGGTGCGGGGAACGTGGCCAGTGTTCCCTGCAAAAAACCGGGTCCCTTTG